TATAATAAAATCATAATAATAGGCGAAGAAATAATGGTGGCTTGTGGTCCGTTTGGATAGTAAACATTGGTGTTACCTAAAAAAGAAGTCTACTTTAAATGGCCATGTAAGTATATATATATATTGAGCTCCAACGTTGTTGGCGTTAAAATAACGTTGTAAATAGATGAATAACTAAAATAAAAAAGTCAGTTCCAGGTTTAATTAAGTTTAATTAAACAGGTTAAAAGGATTTTTCAAAGGCTTTCAGTAGTGAGCAGTTTCTGGGTTCTTTACCTTATGATATTTATGAGATATATAAAAGATTTTATAATCTGTACTCCATAATATTTCTTTTTCTGCTTTTTGGTGAAGTTTACCATCGAAAAATTTCTCTGAAACAATGAGGTAGAAAACGTTTGATGGCATACTGTGACATATGGCATACTGTGAGTCTGTGACACATGGCATACTGTGACACATGGCATCCTGTGACATAGGGCATACTGTGAGTCTGTGACACATGGCATACTGTGACACATGGCATACTGTGACACATGGCATACTGTGACACATGGCATCATGTGGCATATGGCATACTGTGAGTCTGTGACACATGACATACTGTGACACATGGCATCCTGCGACATACGGCATACTAGCCATACTGTGAGTCTGTGACTCATGGCATACTGTGACACATGGCATCCTGTGACATATGGCATACTAGCCATACTGTGAGTCTGTGACACATGGCATCCTGTGGCATATGGCATACTATGACATCTTCCGTGACATGTCAAGTCTCGATTTGCTCGTCGGCTTGTCCCCTGCTCATCCCAGTTAAAATTTAGGGCAGGGAATAGAGCAGGCCGTCGCCGGCTGCAGAGCCGACGTAGAGACGCGACAGAGCAGCGATAGAGCAGAAATGTCCGCTTTAGAGACGATATCGCCAGCCGCGTATCAGCGCTAATTAGCCTCTGAGTACCTGCCCAGGTGTGCTCTGTCCTGCCGTCACGCAGCCCTTACTGAGCACCGCCTGCTCAAACCTGCCCAACGCCTGCTCTGGGGCNGCGTATCTGCTCTGTACAGCTCCCTGCCGGGCAATCCCAAGTACCAGCGCTAAAACAGCGCAGAGTTCCGTCTCTGCCGAGCTGCTAGAATTTTGTCTCTGTATCAGCCATGGCGCAGCGCAGTTTTAGGGATAAATGGCCGGTTATAGTTTCGCGGCTCCATCCTGCTAAAGCGCGACCAGCCCGGCTAAACCCGGCGCCGGTCTCGGCTCAAAATTTTAACTGGGATGTTATTGCTGGGTATGCTGCCCAATATTGTGTATTAAAAAACTGTTATAAATTCGTTATACGACTACGATTGCTTCATAAGATCATTATTTACCTAAAATAAATACATCTAAAAATATTTTGAGAAGAATAATTTCTAAAGTTGCTATAAAACTGGAAAATATGATTTTCAGCGTAATTTGACCTGAATGTTCAATTTTATAACATGCTTATCGAGTTCATAATTCTTAAATATCAATAATTTATTCAATTATGAACTGTTGAGATGTAAGTCCCAAGTCGAAACGTCTTGTGGTCACCGAAACTTGAAAAAATATAACTCAGTACTCACTGCAGTGAGTGACAGAGAGCGCATTTTTGTCTTCGACGAATACGTGAAGTCACGGACGGACGGACAGACAGACAGACAGACTGACAGACGGACGGACGGACGGACGGACGGACAGACTGACAGACGGACAGACAAACGGACAGACGGACGGACAGACGGACGGACGGACAGACAGGCGGACGGACATGACGAGCACAATAGTGCCTTTTTTCAATAAATGAGAAAATGCGCTAAAATGAACATAAATTTAGATTTTTCATGTACGAGCAGCAAGGATAATTATAGACTTGAAGGGCAAGTCCTACGGAGTGCTTATAATATAATATATATTATATTATATATTATATATAATGTATTATTTATTATATATAATGTTTACCCAGTGTGTATAAATTTTTATTTACTAACACCTTTTACATGCGCCATTTCAGTCAAATATAATTCATATAGTATTTTGAAGTATTTTCCGGATATTTTCGGGCATGTTCCATTACTGTAAAGTGAACGCTGTTATACGTACATAACGAAGTTCAATTTAAGTTCAACTATTTTCGGACATGTTCCATTACTATAAAGTGAACGCTGTTATATGAGACGAAGTTCAATTTAAGTTCAACTATTTTCGGACATGTTCCATTACTTTAAAGTGAACGTTGTTTTATGAGACGAAATTCAATTTAAGTTCAACTATTTTCGGACATGTTCCATTACTATAAAGTGAACGCTGTTATATGAGACGAAGTTCAATTTAAGTTCAACTTTTTTCGGACATGTTCCATTACTATAANCAGGTGGTGGTGGTGGTGGTTGTGGTGATTGTATATGACGATGGTGTGGTTCGTAACTATAGAAACATACCATAACATCACTCCTATATATTCTATTATTTATCTACATGTCTTGTAAGTGACAAACATCCGAACTAGCACTAACTACTAGTATCATGCACGTATTAGCAGCAAGTAAACTAGTTAACCACCTAGTTTGTATATGACGATGGTGTGGTTCGTAACTATAGAAACATACCATAACATCACTCCTATATATTCTATTATTTATCTACATGTCTTGTAAGTGACAAACATCCGAACTAGCACTAACTACTAGTATCATGCACGTATTAGCAGCAAGTAAACTAGTTAACCACCTAGTTTGTAGGAGACCTAAACTAGTAAACTAGCATGTCATTCTTCGTTGGCTAGTGTCTAGTCTTGGCTATTGGTAGTTAATAAAAAATAGTTAATAAAAAATATAAAGTAAATAAAAAAATAAAAAGTTAATAAAAAAACCTTGGCTTATAAGTAAGAAAGAAATTAAGACGTAGTTCAAAGTAAGTAAGAAATGAGAGTAAGAGTTTTAAGTTATTAACTTGAGTAGGAGCCTTAAGTAAGTAATACGTAGCTTGCAAACTAGCACTAGTGTCACTGTATGTCTGGCTTAGTCTATATTTAGTCTAGGTAATAAATAGATTCACTAGTTCCTCTAGCTGTACATCGCTCTAGACGCTCAACCCTGCTACCTATTAGGATATATATGGGCAATTTAACTAATTTATTTAACTAGAGTAGGATAACTATGTATTTATCTAGGATAAATAGGTTATATGCGGCCAATTAGTGATAAGTATGAGGCCAATTAGTGATAAGTATGAGGCCAATTAGTGATAAGTATGAGGCCAATTAGTGATAAGTATGAGGCCAATTGGTGATAAGTATGAGGCCAATTGGTGATAAGTATGAGACCAATTAGTGATAAATATGACAATTATATGCTGATTAGCCTGAATTTAAAGGGTTCCTAGAAGATAAGTAACCTAACCTAACCTACCCTAAATTCCAGCACAAATAACTAACTGCTAATATGAATGCCCCGGTGAATTAATAATCTTATATATAATTGCTACGAACAATGTTCAGTATTTTTACACTGTTCAGATTACACTGATAAAAATAAGTGGTGAAGTTTTTGGCCGGCAACCAGGGGCCATACTTTCAAAACTCGTTAAGTGAACGTTAGTACTTACGCTCTATTTTCTTGTCTATGATTAAGTGAACGTTTAAGTGAACGTAAGTACTTACGCTCTATTTTCTTGTCTATGATTGGTGGATTTTGCTTGAAAGGCCGTCAATGATTGGCTGATGAACTTACGATCACTTAACTTTTTTGAAGTATAGGCTCAGGACTTTCAAAAAAGTTAAGAGATCGTAAGTTCATCAGCCAATCATTGACGGCCTTTCAAGCAAAATCCACCAATCATGGCCAAGAAAATAGAGCGTAAGTACTTACGTTCACTTAATCATAGACAAGAAAATAAAGCGTAAGTACTTACGTTCACTTAATCATAGACAAGAAAATAGAGACTAAGTACTTACGTTCACTTAATCATAGACAAGAAAATAGAGCGTAAGTACTTACGTTCACTTAATTTTTTTTAAGTATAGGTCCTGGAGCACAGGCGTGGAATAAGCTGCTCTTGTTATAAATACGCGCGCCTAGCGGCGCAGCGGCAGTTGCCCACTGGCATCCGTGCAAGTGAGACGTGTTGTTCATGCTTCTGGCTGCCATAATGCATTCATGTCTTTAGTTGAAGACGAAATTAAAAACGCTTGAGCTTCAGGATAGCTTGAGCTTCGCTAATTTATGACAGTGCTTAACTAGCAATCACAAGATTGCAATATTTTGCTTATCCAGAAATTATATTCATTAAGACGAAAATAGACTTTTTCAGCCGACTTATTTTCACATAAACTAATACAAGATTTCCAATACAGGCCGTGTCAACATCTTGCAGAGGTTTTAAGTTATTTATTCTTTTGATAAAATTGCCGGGAAGTAGTAATAAAATTAGTAAGAAATTGCACTTAGTAATACTATTATTGGAAGAAGGGGACGACAGCCTGTAGTTGGTGGCTTGTAATGCGGCGCTAAAGTGGGCATTCCGGCTCCAAAACGGCTATGAATCAAGCATAATGCATAAAATGGGTCATGAACGGCTGCGGTTGAGTCTAAAGTGGGTCAATAACGGCTGCGGTTGAGTCTAAAGTGAGTCATTAACGGCTGCGGTTGACTCTAAGTGGGTCATTAACGGCTGCAGTGGAGTCTAAAGTGGGTCATTAACTGCTGCGGTTGAGTCTAAAGTGGGTCATCAACGGCTGCTGTAGAGTCACTGCTGACGTCAGTTGTGTCGCCGCCTCCTAACAAAATTCGGGGCATGCTTCAGCCTACGCCTCAGAGTCGCTATGTTCGCGTTAGAGTTATTCTGGGTCAGTTGGCCAACTGATCGCAATCAGCGACTAGTCAGAACCTCCTGGCCGACTTTATGGTCTCCTGAGAGTAGGGCAAGAGTTGGCAGAATATAAGTACCAGGCGCTTGTAGCTGTCTGATTCGGGGACCGGAATGTAGACCAAAAAGCGGACATGGGGAAGCTGCATGGTGGACTATGCTTCCCGAGTCTTAGGCGTTCCTTAGTCCAGAGCCGCCCTCGGCTCTAAATTTTGTTAGGGAGCTTCTTCAGTCGCGTCGTCTGTTCTGGTTCCCTCTTTCCTATCCACCTCATCGGCCGCCGCTCAGCGTTGAGTTGTTCTCAAGGAAGGCGGCGGAGTGGCGGCAGTTACGCTCGTCGCTGCCGTCGCTGCAGTCCGGGTGGCGGTCGCAGATTCGGTCTGGCGGGACGCAGGCGCCCAGAGCACACCGCAGACCTGCGCAGGGGGGCGCTTCCACAGGCACCACCGACCCGCTGCCACCCAGAGAGAGAACCTGCAGGAGGGAGGGAGGGAGATTAGAGGAGACATGCCTATCGCTGACTTGGAGACAGAGGACGACGAAGGCGGAGCATCAGCATGACCTTGGACTATATTAGTTTCTGAATAAGGGCGGAAAAGGTTAGAGGAGACTCGCCTATCGACGACTTGGGGACAGAGGACGACGAATGCGGAGCATCAGCTTGACTTTGGACTACATATATTAGTTTCTGAATAAGATCCCGGATTGACCAGTCATGAAAAACTACCCTCAGCAAGTGACAAGCAACAGCATCTTGCAGCAGCTGGCCCAAAGGAGGGCATATATACTGAACACGTCCAACGTTACATCCGGGACCCGAGGGCGAAGTGACCTGCCTAGCGACGACTCGGAGACGGAGGACGACGAAGGCGTCGCATCAGCTTGACCGTGGACTACGAAGTCCTACGAAGCTTATTAGGAGGAAATGGGAATTAGCTGGGGAGAAGATATAGGCTGTAACACGCTACACACCTGGTGTATCCAGGAGCTGTAGGCTGTAACCTTCGTGTAGACGCCTGGTCTGTTGGGTCTGGCGCAGCCGTAGCCGTTGCTTGTCACCCCCACCAACACCCACCGCCCGTCTGCCTCCTGTGGGGGTGGGGGATGAGAGTATAATGTCAATAGTATAATCAATTATGCTATTATAGTATAATCAGTTTATGATATATATAGTCTTTAATCCATAGTTAATCGTTAATAGCACAAGTAGTCACTTGTGCTATTAGATCCAGTACAAACATACGTCATCCAAAGCACTTAATACGCCAGCAAGGATTTAGTAATCAATACGAGAAGGCAGTGTGGGTGACAGGCGGTGTGGGGGTTAGGCTAGTGTGGGTGTGGGTGGGGTTAGGACAGTGTAGGTGACAGGCGGTGTGGAGGTTAGGCTAGTGTGGGCGGCAGGCGGTGTGGAGGTTATGCTAGTGTGAGTGGTGGGTGGTGTAGAGGTTAGGCCAGTGTGTGTGGTAGGCGGTGTGGAGGTAGGGCCAGTGTAGGCGGCAGGCGGTGTGGAGGTTAGGCCAGTGTGTGCGGCAGGTGGTATGGAGGTTAGGCCAGTGTGTGCGGCAGGTGGTGTGGAGGTTAGCCCAGTGTGTGCGGCAGGCGGTGCGGAGGTTAGGCCAGTTTGGCTGGTGGGCGGTGTGGAGGTTAGGCCAGTGTGAGTGGCAGGCGGTGTGGAGGTTAGGCAAGTGTGGGTGGTAGGCGGTGTGGAGGTTAGGCCAGTGTGGGTGACAGGCGGTGTGGAGGTTAGGCCAGTGTGAGTGGCAGGCGGTGTGGAGGTTAGGCCAGTGTGTGCGGCAGGCGGTGTGGAGGTTAGGCCAGTGTGTGTGGCAGGCGGTGTGGAGGTTAGGCCAGTGTGTGCGGCAGGCGGTGTGGAGGTTAGGCCAGTGTGTGTGGCAGGCGGTGTAGAGGTTAGGCCAGTATGTGTGGCAGGCGGTGTGGAGGTTAGGCCAATGTTCGGCCGGCGGTAGGGAGGTTAGGCCAGTGTGTGTGGCAGGCGGTGTGGAGGTTAGGCCAGTGTGTGCGAAAAATGTGAGATTTTATGAATAATAAGTGAGATACGTAGCAGCGCAGCTGCTTTTGCTGTTAACGGGTGCCTGTTAGTAACCTATTGTTCGCCTGCTAGTCGCCCGATAACGGGTTCCTGTTAGTAACCTGTTAGTTGGCTGTTAGTCGCCCGTTAACGGGTGCCTGTTAGTAACCTGTTAGTCGCCTGCTAATCGCCCGTTAACGGGTGCCTGTTAGTAACCTGTTAGTCGCCTGCTAGTCGCCCGTTAACGGGTGACGGGTTCCTGTTAGTAACCTGTTAGTTGGTTGTTAGTCGTCCGTTAACGGGTCCTGTGTACCTGGCACATGAGAGGTCCCCCGCTGTCCCCCAGACACGCGTCGCGTCCCCCACGCAGGTACCCCGCGCAGAACATGTGTTGGGTGACGCGGTACAGCGGCATGAAGAGCGTGCGCCGCTGGCACTCTGCCGTGCTGATCAGCGGCACCTCCACCTCCTGCAGGCTGTCAGCTGGGGGGTGGGGTGGGTCAGGTTAGGGTAGGGTAGGTTAGGGTAGGGTAGGTTAGGTTAGGGTAGGGTAGGTTAGGGTAGGCTAGGTTAGATTAGGTTAGGGTAGGTTAGGTTAGGGAAGTGGTTGGTCAGGTTAGGTTATGTTAGGTTAGGGTAGGTTCGGTTTGGTTAGGTATGGTTATGTTAGGGTAGGTAATATCAGGTTAGGTTAGGTTAGGTTAGGCTAGGTTAGATTAGGTTAGGGTAGGTTAGGTTAGAGTAGGTTAGGTTAGGTTAGGGTAGATTAGGTTAAGTTATGTTAGGTTAAGTTAAGTTAGGTTAGGCTACGTAATGTTAGGTTAGGTTTAGATACTTTTAAATAGGATAGGTAAGTTATGTTAGGTTAGGCTAGGTTCGGTTACGTTAGGTTAGGTTAGGTCAGGTTAGGCTAGGGATTAAGGACTAGGTCATGTTGGGGGTTAGGTTATGCTAGGTTAGGTTAGGTTTGATTAGGCTAGGTGTGGTTAAGTTAGGCTACCCTAACCTCAACCTCCAGCAGGCTGTCAGCTGGGATTGGGTAGGTTAGGTTAGGTTAGGTTAGGGTAGGTTGGGCTAGGTTAGTTTAGGTTTGGTTAGGCTAGGTTAGGTTAGGTTAGGTTAGGTTAGTTTAGGTTTGGTTAGGCTAGGTTAGGTTAAGTTAGGCAACCTAACTTTACCTTAATCTCCTGCAGGCTGTCAGCTGGGGGGTAGTTAGATTAGGTATGGTTAGGTTACTTCAGGTTAAGTTAGGTAATATTAGGTTAGGTTAGGCTAGGATAGGCTAGAGATGAAGGGCTGGGTCTCATTGGGGGTTAGATTAGGTTAGGTTTTGTTTGGGGTTGGTATGCATGATGTTAAGAAGAATGTCATCATATTAGTAATATAAATATATATATTTATATACATATGAATAAAGTTATTTATTTACATGCTTCATAACATAAGGGGTCAGTAGATATGTAGGTATTGTTATATATTTAATAGCATATGGAATATGAATGGAAGTCTCGATATTCACTCCATAAGATAATGGCGTAATGTGTGTAATATACTATATATAGATACCATAGATACTATATACAGAAGAAGATAAATAACTTAAGGAATATAAGATACTCAAAAGTACTATAAATAGAATAAGATAAGATAACTAAGGTAATATAAGATAGGCTACGATACTACAAATAGAATAAGATAAGGTAATTAAAGTAAAATATGATACGAGAAGATACTATAAATATAATAAGATAAGATAGACTCACGGAATATAATATAAAATGCTAGAAATGCAACCTTAAGCTTTACTTAAGGTTGCTAGCCTTTATATAGGCTTCGCTTCCGCCCACGACTGAGCTGTCCCCAGCCCACTAGTTAAGATAAGATAAGATAATAAAATTTAATAGCATAATATAAGATAAGATAAGATAAGCTAAGCTAGACTCACGGAAGATCTTGCCCGCCTCGAACAGCTGTCCCCAGCCCACGAGTGTGCATCGCCGTCCGTCCGTGATGGGGTAGTGGGGTGGGGGGAGGCACACCGGCCGGACGTAGTCCGTGTAGGGCACGGCCTGATGTAGCTGTAGCAGCGCTACGTCGTGGGTGTAGCTAGCGTCGATGTAGCTGGGGGAGGGAGGGGTTAATGGGTGGGTGTAGCTGGGGGAAGGAGGGGTTAATGGGTGGGTGTAGCTGGGGGAAGGAGGGGTTAATGGGTGGGTGTAGCTGTAGCAGCGCTACGTCGTGCGTGTAGCTAGCGTTCATTATTAATATTATTATATTATTGAAATATTTTACATCATTTTTCCAATCCAAATATTTTTTAGAAGAAAATGACTGACACCAATGAACATCACAGCATATCAACGATCGATTTTAATGAGTTACCACTCAAAAATGGCATCTAAGATCACCTTGATAATAAAGAAAAAAATTTTGGATAAGAACATAAGGCTGAGTTCTTTAAATAAAAATTCATTTATTTTAAATGAGTTTGATGACGGTTGAGCTTAGTAAATTGTTTTTTGCAGGTAAATTACACAGTCAGCACGGCTATCATGGTAGCATCTCATTTCTATGGAGACCAAGAGTGAACTCTGGCCTCTGGAAATACCGCTATGACGATTTTTTGCCGTCCTATTTGGGGCCTTTATAACCTCTCTATGCTTCCTAATATGGAGGATAGTGAGGATAACAAAGGGTATAACCTTCGCTGCCATGGGCCATACTTTCAAAACTCGCTAAGTGAACGTAAGTACTTACGCACTATTTTCTTGTCTATGATTGGTGGATTTTGCTTGAAAGGCCGTCAATGATTGGCTGATGAACTTACGATCTCTTAACATTTTTTTTAAGGTATGGGCCCATGTCTATACTTCTTAATATGGAGGATAGTGAGGATAAAAAAGGGTATAACCTTCGCTGCCATGTCTATGCTTCCTAATATGGAGGATAGTGAGGATAAAAAAGGGTATAACCTTCGCTGCCATGTCTATACTTTCTGATATGGAGGATAGTGAGGATAAAAAAGGGTATAACCTTCGCTGCCATGTCTATGCTTCCTAATATATAGTGAGGGTATAAAAGGGTAAACGAAATTTAAAAGCAAATAAAACGTCAAGCAAATTCAACATATCGACATGAAAATGTTTCAAAGTCCAGCTCCATCATCAGTTCGAAAATCTAAAAAATGATTAAAATAATTTTATAACTCAAAATTTAAAGACAGACATAAACCCTAAACAAGGTCTAGCATTTTTTTGTTCTTAGAATTTTCTTATCTTCTTAGAATTTTGACTTATAAAATAATTTTATTAATTTTTAGATTGTCGCACTGATGATGGATTTCGAAAAGTTTTCAATATCGACATGGCGAAATTGATTGACGTTTTCTTTGCTTTTAAATTCCTTGTGAAATTGCGATATGAGCAGACTGATATTATAAGGGTAAACGGGCGGTGGAATGTATGGAGAATGATGGTGAGGGTAAACAAGGGTAAATGGGCAAAGGGAGGGAGGTATAGTGCAGGGGGAGGGTGGTATGTATAGTGCAAGGGGAGGGTTGTTTCCCTGCATATACATGGTTCTGCATATACCCAGTTCTGCATATACCCAGTTCTGCATATACCCAGTTCCCTTCCCAGTTTCCCTGCATATACCCACCCACCTTCCACTCTTTTTCCCGGTCGCTGCGCGAATTCTAACCTTTGCTTCCCTCAGTCCCTCTTCGGGCGCTTATCCGCACGGATCAACCCACGCTGGCCCCTGGCCAGAACCTGACGCTGACTTGCGAAGTGGTGGGACAACCACCGCCGTCCATCACCTGGTACAAGGACAGCCAACCACTGCAAGCTACCGACCGGGTCCTGCTGAGCCAAGGTGATGAGGATTGCGGGGTTACTTATAGAAAGTGAATTTCGCCTGTGAGGCTTTTTAGCTTATATGGGCATTCACATGGAAGCATTTTGTATTTTTTCTCAAAATTTTTGCCATTTTCTTCTTATGAATTTTTTTGTATGATCCTGCGTGAATAAAGAATGAATGAATACTGCGTATGGTGGTGTATGACTAATTACTGGTGTGTTGTGGTAGAGTTGGGTATTCTGATATTCTTATCTCGCTGGATGAGTTGAAATCTGGTGTCATGCATTTCATGAAAAAATTGTACATTTCATATTAAATTGGGAAATTTAAGTTCACATCCTACGTTGATGAAAAATTTCTAGTCCATGAAAAAAAAAACAATCTGAAAACAATCAAATTGAGAACCTATCAGTTTACATCACTAAAATCAATCTTTTTACCAGAAACGTTGATCCGTTGAAGTTTTTTGATTAAACGACAGTTGTAAACGGCAGTAACTTGCGCACACGATTGGGCGAGAAAAGATATCCAGCGAGAAATCAATCTAATTAACTGTGACATTCTTATGTATATATCGTGTCCCAAATCATTATTTTCAGCTATTTTTTGGATGACTACCGATCACGTGGACCGACCACTGACTATTTCATTGTCTCAGGGGAGACCGTCCACCTGCTGACCACTGACTATTTCATTGTCTCAGGGGAGACCGTCCACCTGCTGACCACTGACTAGTTCATTGTCTCAGGGGAGACCGTCCGCCTGCTGACCACTGACTATTTCATTGTCTCAGGGGAGACCGTCCACCTGCTGACCACTGACTAGTTCATTGTCTCAGGGCAGACCGTCCGCCTGCTGACCACTGACTATTTCATTGTCTCAGGGGAGACCGTCCACCTGCTGACCATCGTGTCCGTGACGAAGGAGGACAGTGGCCAATACTCTTGTGCAGCCCTCAACCTGTACGGCAGCGCGTCTAGCAGTACTGACGTCAACGTCGAGGGTGAGTTGTGTGTTCGAGACCGCAAAATGCTGCGAATTTTCTGCGATGTTAAGAATCGGCGACAGGCCTATGGCCTACCAAACGCTGAAACGGCTTTTATTATTATTATTATGGATGCTTTGTTGGAAAAACCACCATTAAACGGTATTACTGGCGTCTCAGTAACCGGCCGGCAAGTGAAAATAAACACCATTAATGCTGTTTTTATTCCAATTTTACGCTAGAAACCCGTGTAACAGCTGAGAAAACGGCAAAACGGTTTATTTACACGGGCGGCTGGTTGCTAGAACGCTGTTAAGACCGTTTTTTCACTGTTTTGTCGAACAGTGTACTTTTCAACCCATTATTATGTCTCCGATGCCCTGATCGTCCATCTGGTCAACAATATCTTAACCACAACCTGTGAATAAATAATTTTATCCCAGTATAATAAACACTTTTACTACTCTTCATGTCTTTGGCACTTACCGCAACTCAAGCCATCAGTAACGTTCTTCACATTCTTTCCTTCGGGTCATCCTCGTTTTCAACATTACCCTGTATATACTATTTGCTTCTAAAGCTTTGATGAAGCGTTATTTAATCAATACCCTAACCACATTCCATATTACCAATACATCGACATAGCCTTATTCCATCAAAAGTATGACCATACACTTTTAAGCCAATATTCCAGCGCCATACCTAAAAAAATTAAGAGGTCGTAAGTTCATTAGCCAAAAAAGCAAGCATTAGCCAAGCAAAATCCACCAATCGTAGGCAAGAAAATAGAGCGTAAGTACTTATGTTAACTTAGCGAGTTTTGAAAGTATGGCCCCTGATCAATTCCTTGAATTTAAACTCTTTCATACAAACCTTGGACGCATATATGCTCATCGATACTTTGATCTCTTCCTATGCCACAAACATCTGACTCATTTCTCTCTCTCCAGGCATCTTAGTTGACCCCAGCTGCTTGGACAACTTCTTCTTCGCGAACTGCGAACTGATCGTGCGAGCGCAGTACTGCAATAACAGCTACTACGCCCGCTTCTGCTGCAGATCTTGTACGCTGGCAGGACAACTTCCTTACCAAGGACCTCACCTGCAGCAGCAGGGTTAAGCCTCGCAGCAATCCTACCTTATCAGGCTCTACCAGCAGCAGGGTTGAGCCTTGCAGCAATCCTACCTTATCAGGGCTGCTGGGATATGTCGTGCAGCATTTCTGATTAACCAGGAGCTCTACATGCACTGCTCCTGCCCTAACGGTTCTGCACCAGCTATGGGTTTAAACCCTGCAACTCACCTGCTTTACCAGCGGCATGGTTAAGACCTGAAGTTTTTCTGCAGGTCTAGGACCTCACCGGCAGCATGGCTAGGTTAAACTCAAGTACCAGCAATAGTATTAATTTGTACATAAATGTTTGCGTTTGTCGGGCGGCCTGGATATTCACTACTAAGGGTTCGTTGAATCTCTTGAGCCATTTTTTGTCTCATCTTAACTCATCCCTTAGTGCAACGTGCGACTAGATCTCAAGGAATCTAGTGCCAGAGTTGATTTGTGCTTCCGTCAGTTGGTGTTAATAGTGCCTGAGCTCTTTAGGTGCTTCTGTCATCTAGTGTCCGAGTTCTTTAGGTGCCTCTGTCATCTGGTGTCCGAGCTCTTTAGTTGCCTCTTTCATCTAGCTTCAGAGCTCTTTAGGTGCCTAAGTGCAGGCGACATGCCATGCTACTTTAAGCCCTTCGTTGTATGGCTCTAATTCTGTTCCCAAGTCAACAGACAACCATGGTCAGCAGTCAGTGTCAGCAGACATCAATGGTCAGTAATCAGTGTAAGTGGACGATTGCTAGCCTCAGCAACTTTAGACTATCTTGACAGATCTTGTATCAATCGAATAGTCTTGGTTGCAAAGGTCGACGTTGCAGATGAAATAAAGTGAATCATCAAATCTTCAAATACCTGTACAACTAACACAATCAAACTAACAACACTCACATGTGCGCAGGTTTAAACTTAAATAAATAATAGGCCTAAATAAGATGAAGACTAGGCCTAACTTAGGTGCCATAAGCTGCGCTTCTGAAGTGCCTTTACTGCCAAACTTTCGCGACTTATTTTGCTTAGAGCTTTTAATGTTAGTTGTATCTTTTTAAGGTTTAGAAATAACTCATAATCTTTAGTTATAATTCCTAAGATGTAACTCATAAGCTGTAGTGCTTCCTTTTCAAGATAGTTCCCATACTCTCCATTTTTCACTATTCCTTCGCCATACCTCGGTAAGATCGCGCCGGAGATTGAAATGCCTGTTGAAGAAAAGTACATAGCTTTGACCTTAGCGTGCGGTAGTCATGCGTGATAACCTTGTCCAGACTTGTAGTGTATGGATGGCAAGTTAACCTTGTCCGTAGCGTGCAGGGTACGGACGGCTAGTTAACCTTGACCGTAACGTGCAGGTTACGGACGGCTAGTTAACCTTGTCCGTAACGTGCAGGGTACGGACGGCTAGTTAGCCTTGCTCGTAACGTGCAGGGTATGGATGGCTAGTTAACCTTGTCCTTAACGTGCAGGTAACCTTGTCCGTAACGTGCAGGGTATGGATGGCTAGTTAACCTTGTCCGTAACGTGCAGGGTACGGATGGCTAGTTAACCTTGTCCGTAACGTGCAGGGTACGGATGGCTAGTTAACCTTGTCCGTAACGAGCAGGGTATGGATGGCTAGTTAACCTTGTCCGTAACGTGCCGGGTATGGTTGGCTAGTTAACCTTGTCCGTAGCGTGCAGGGGTATGGATAGCTAGTTAACCTTGTCCGTAACATGCAGGATTTGTATGGCTAGTTAACCTTGTCCGTAACGTGCAGGGTATGGATAGCTAGTTAAAATTGTCCATAACGTGTAGGGTATGGATGGCTAGCAAATCTGCAAGCCTATTTCGATGAACTTTCTCTAATGACTTTAGTTACATCGTCTTCTCATACGTGAAACTCGTTGATGATTCGCAACAGCCAAACAACAACAAACTTGAACATTCACTTTAATCCCTGAAAAACATCTTCATATCCTGTTTTTATTCAGTCCACGGTCTCACCTCATACTGACTGGTACTTTCATTCCAATGAAACTGTCATCCTATTCACATGCACAAATGGAACTGTCATAATTTTGAAATTTGATATAATGTGCCATCGCTCATTTTTATTATTTATGCAATTTTTTATTTGGAATGATTGTAATGCTTCTGTAGCTTGCATCGTAGTTTAGTGCAGAATAACCTCTCTACCAATAACCTCTGTATCTACCAAACCCGTACTCAGTTTTGCTCCGCTCTATTTCACCACGTAGGCATTCTCATTGTTGGTTCATTTTTATCTATGTCATCAATCGGAAAAATGTTGTCCAAAATATTTGTCGAGAATGATTGTTGAAATGTTTTCATTAATCGCATTCATGCAGTTTGGCATTTAATGTAGTATTTCTATTTTATCAACTATTTGCTTGACTGACCACCTTCAGAGGGACCAATTTCATGATTGCTACAAAAAGTAATAGAGCTCATTTCTTTTATGTGTTTAATTTTCCTTAACTGCAACGATGCGCTGTTTTGAGACACCAGCACTGTTATGCGACACCAGTACTATTTTGTGACACCAGCACTGTTTTGAGACACCAGCAATGTTTTGAGACACCAGCACTGTTTTGAGACACCAGCAGTGTTTTGAGACACTAACACTGTTTTGAGACACCAGCACTGTTTTGAGACACCAGCACTGTTTTGAGACACCAGCACTGTTTTGAGACACCAGCACTGTTTTGAGACACCAGCACTGTTTGGAGACGCCAGCGCTGTTTTGAGACACCAGCACTGTTTGGAGACACCAGCACTGTTTTGAGATACCAGCACTGTTTGGAGACACCAGCACTGTTTTGAGACACCAGCACTGTTTTGACCAACCAGCACTGTTTTGAGACACCAGCACTGTTTTGACCAACCAGCACTGTTTTGAGATACCAGCACTCTTTTGAGACACCAGCACTGTTTGGAGACACCAGCACTGTTTTGAGACACCAGCACTGTTTTGACCAACCAGCACTGTTTTGAGACACCAGCACTGTTTTGACCAACCAGCACTGTTTTGAGATACCAGCACTCTTTTGAGACACCAGCACTGTTTGGAGACACCAGCACTGTTTTGAGACACCAGCACTGTTTTGACCAACCAGCACTGTTTTGAGACACCAGCACTCTTTTTAGACACCAGCACTCTTTTTAGACACCAGCACTGTTTTGAGACACCAGCACCGTTTTGAGACACCAGCACTGTTCTGAGACACCAGCACTGTTTTGAGACACCAGCACTGTTTTGAGACACCATAACACTGTTTTGAGACAACAGCACCCACGTGAGTCGCACGATTTGTCTTGCCCAAAAAGAGCTGGTTTCACCAAGCGCCAGTGAAAATTTACAGACGCGGCAGCTTCTGATTTGGATTACCAGAAGCTGGGGCGACTCTAAATTTTGTTAGGGTACTCACATTATCCCAAAAGTGGTGCCCCTTCTGTCCTGTCAAGGTCACTCTGACCCATTTAGCCCTGGCGAAAGGACGTATTAGTGCTACGATCGGAAAGTGTCATAATTTGCACCACATAACCAAGGCAATTATTTGATCAAGCATTTGAAACAAGCTGATATTCATGGAGCTGAGGCTAGTACAATCGCAACGGGTGACCGGGGTTTGTACTTATAGATAACCGTCCCCCACCCCGCTGCACCTTTCGGTTTGAACTTTTACGTTCGTGTCGGGTACACAATTTATACAAGGAATCTTGTGTAATAGTGAAGAATTTTAGGCCCTTGTATATGTCACCCTGTCTCAGTTTGGCCCTGTATCAGGGATATGTGTAGAAATTATGACACTGTCTGAACATGAAGAATGTGACATATATATTATTTCAAGGTGGATAAATTTCTAGGTTTGGGAGAACTTTTGAGTTGAATTTAAGGAGTTATGAATACTAATTTTATTTTAGAAACGGCTAACTGATACTTGTGAAATTAAAACAGACTTTTTATCGCTGTAAAGTGAATAAATTTCTAGGTTTGGGAGAAACTTCGAGTTGAATTTAAGGAGTTATGAATACGAACTCTATTTTGAGAAACTGCTGAACTAAGGGCTCATCCATTTATTTAGTTAGAATATATTGTGAAGCTGGATTTGGAAGTCAGAAAGTTCATGGAGGTACGTTAAGCGTCAGGTGACATCACCAACACCTCTGCTGGGACGGGACCTTTTACGACAAAGGACAAACAATATGCGAGAGGCACACATAACACAGGCGCTTTTACTGACTGCCCGAAGGTGCCCGGTTTCTGCTGAGAAACCAGACATAGAAAGGTTGGACTGCATCACTTGCTCCTCCCCCCCCCCTCTTGCCTCCCTGTCTCCCCTCCCCGTCAAGTGGCCAGGGCCCATACTTGCAAAAAAAGTTAAGAGATCGTAAGTTCATCCGCCAATAATTGACGGTCTTTCTAGCAAAATTCACCAATCACAGACAAGAAAATAGAGTGCAAAGTACTTACGTTCACTTAGCGAGTTTTGAAAGTATGGCCCCTGGGTACAATCCCATATCGACCGCTCCTGCAACACTACCAGCGGCGAGAAGCAAGCAACAGCATCTTGCATCAGGTGGCCCAAATGAGGGAAGATGAGCGATATATAATCAGAGGCGGCGATCCATCGTGGCCTGGGACTGCTACGTCACAAACAAGTATAAAGAATACTAAAGGTGTGAGTCGGGAACGCAATAAAAACCTCAACAGGTGGGAGGAGGATGCGTAGCCCCTTGTGGTCCCTATATCCCCCGTCACTATAGCCTATCCTCAGTTTATTTGTAGGAAATAATAGAAATAGCTCGTTTTTGCCCTCGATTTTCAAAAATCACTTGTGAAACTGAGACGATAATTTTTACCCGCTATTTTTTGGGAAATTCTACCCGATATTCCAGATTGCCCAGACACAAGTCGGAAGTGTCCGCAGTCCGCTGGATCCGTTCAGACTCTCAGAATTGAACTAACCGCTCTTGTGTGCACTGTTGGAAAAAACGGTCTCACTGGCGTTCTAGTGCCCGGTCGCCCCGTGAAAATAAACTATTTCGCCGTTTTTATCAGATGTTTTACGGATTTCTAGTGTTAAATTAGAATAAAAACGGCGACACGCTGTTTCTTTTCACGTGCCGACCGGCCACTGAAACGCCGGTAATACCGTTAATTGTAATTTTTCTAATCCTGATCCAGTTTGGCCGGACAAAATAGTGTATCAGGGCTACGTTCGCTCTCTGATGGTGATGTACTCGGACCACATAACGCGGGTTCACTCATTGATGTATTTTGCCTTACTTACGCAGGTTAAAACAAACCGTTGGGGACCATTAAAGTTTATTTTTCAGCATATATTCATGATCGATCGAGCTTTTCTCTTCCCATTAATTTTAACTTCAATCTGGAGACTTGAAGTAGGCTTTCGATGACGTTTGTGTTGATAAGTATCTATTATTATTGGTCGGGTTTGACATAGTCTGTCATCAAATATTTTCTTCGAAGTATCTGGAAAGAATGGATGCGTGAAGGGTAACTATGCCAACTTGCACTAGTGAATGAAGCTCCTTACCCTAACCAGAGGCTAGGAGGCAGAGTGAGGCGTTCTATAAATGATAATTTTTTTGGTCTTTAAAATTTATTAGGAATGAGGAATGATCATGATCTAGATAATGTTGATGATGATGATGATGACATGATGATGTTAAAAAATATATATTATGAACAATCAGTTTCAGTTATTATATTTAAGAATGCAATCTGACGGTTATACAGGAAATTAGTACAATAAATCTAGCTCAAACAATCCACAGGGCATCACTCACCCGTGGTAAGGCTCAGCTTAAAGGTACTGATAAAGAAGTGAACGCAACGTAAACTTCATACGCAGTGTGCCAAGTTATTAGAAACAGTTAATTCGACCACGTGGCGAGCGTAAATTCGAATATGAAGATGGGTTGGGGCAGGGTGGCCCAGTGGTTTCAGTTCAGGGCCTATACCTTCAAAAAAAAGTTAAGAGATCGTAAGTTCATCAGCCAATCATTGACGGCCTTTCGAGCAAAATCCACCAATCACAGGCAAGAAAATAAAGCGTAAGTTACGTTCACTTAGCGAGTTTTGAAAGTATGGCCCCAGAGTCCCAGGATTGGAGCAGTGAGTTGCGGGTTCGAGACCGTAACAAGCTGTGAATGTTCTGCGATGTTACGAATCGGAGACAGTCCTACGGTCTAATAAACGCTAAAACTGCTATATTATTATTAATATTATTATTACTATTATTATTGTTTTGTTATTATTATTATTATTATTATTATTATTATTATTATTATTATTATTATTATTA